AATGTACTACATGAAAAAAATTCTTATCCTTATTTTTTTTTTGAGGAGTCTTTCTCAGAGTCTATATAAAAATATACCCGTGATTTTTTTTTTGTATTGTATCAAGAGCTTTTAAAATTTTAGTTAATTGTTTCTCAAACTTGGAACTTACATTAACTTTCATGTGTGTAATTTTGGAGGAAAAAGTTATTCGGTGAATACAAAATGCCATCAGAAAATTATTTTCTCTTTTAAATAGTGTGACATTGTCTCCAAAATGTATGTATTAGAACTTTTGCCAAATCTTACTTTTCCTTGGGAATTTGCATGGTGGTTGTCAATCATGTAAAAATAGTTGACTTTTGAGCCTTCACTGTTGCCCTTGTCTGAGGAAATTTTCACTAGGCCTTTATTGTAGGCTAGAGCAGCCAAAGCAGCCTTGTCAGGCCTTCACATGACATCATTCTTCCTCCCTAAATCCAATGTCAATAAAAACAGAAAGTTTAAACTGTATATGGAAAAAGTGTAATAAGCAATTGCTCTTGGCTATTGTCGAATCTTTGAGCTATCTCTCCAAATCCCATAAATCTCAAGATAACTGATCTGTTATTTCAGTCATGTATTTCCTGAGCATATCAGTGTGGTGCTAGAAAAAAAGGGACACATTTCCCATAACTACACTTAGTAATATATACGACTGGAATAAAAAAAGACAGCTGCCTTTTAATTGATTTTTCTTTTTTTAAAGTAGATAGCAGTAGTCCACTCTAGATTGAAAGGATTTGAAATATTCATTCTTTGCAATGGTCCAATATCTAGTATTTTGGGTCTTAAGGCAAATTTGTGAAGTATGTAGCATGCCTAGCCTCATTTTGTTATACACAACTTATACCTCAATCCATGGTATTTTCTCATTCGCCTAGCCTCATTTTGTTATACACAACTTATACCTCAATCCATGGTATTTTCTCATTCACATTTTTTTGTGCCTTAAAACATATACTGAGGACCTACTTTATGTCAGGCACTCTGTCAGTGAGGGCTTAAAGAGGAGCAACACATGCTTCCTGTGGTCAGTATTTTCAAAATTAGATTGAGGAATCGGAGAGTTGGAAACATTATGAGATCTTATGTGTTGGCCTGTTACAGAGAGGCGTGGGCAAGAGATGGCAGCAGAGGAGACACCTAACTGGGGTAGCTGGGGAGCGGGGGTTTCTGAGAGGACTTTCTTTAGGTAATGCCTGAGGAGACTCTATCATTTTGTCTATTCCAGTGTGCTGTCAAATAGTAACCAGCTGTCAAATATCTTCACATTAATTCAAGTAAATATGTTTATTTTCTTGAGGGTATTTTGTTTGCAAGTATTTTCTCCCAAGTAGACTGAAAGGCTTTGCTTTTGGCAAAAGTAGTGGTTCTTCATGTGATCCCTCCTGACAGTCTACTGTGGACCTCTCCCCTGCAGAACATGTGGTGACTGTGTTTATAAACTCATACATATTTTTTGCATACAGCTTTTAGGAAATCACAGACTCAAAGCCCCCTTAAAACTGCTTCCTGGACCCCAGCTTCTAAAGATCACTGGGGAATCGGGAAGTGGGTGGAAAAGATGTCATTTAAAATTAGGATGTAGGGAATCACAATCTTGGATTGCTTATTCTCACCATAGACTCTTTGATAAAATGTGTTTACTCTGCCTACGACAATAAAAGCACTCTGTCTTGGCCTCCGATTAAAAAAATTGTTTTTGTAGTACAATGAATGCAGATAGCCTTCACGAGAAAAACAAAACCTGTGGTTTTCCACGTTGTCTCAAAACTGTTCTTCTTGACATTCTGTTTTGGCCTATTGGTTAGCTCCACCCCATTTTTGACCATAGGAATTCAAGCAGAATTCCAAACAGTAGTAAATATTCTAATGGAGCTTGGGCGTTTCTCTGGTATTGTCATCTATAACCAGTTTCCCATATTGCTTTTGGTTCTGATAGCACTAACCTCAGATCACGGTATTAAATGGGGCTAATGAGTGATAATTCACACTTTCAAAACTGATCATCTCTAATTTTAGTTTTTTGATGCAAAATAAATAGAAAATACTGAAGAGAGAGAAAAACAAAACTCCAAAGTGGACTTGAGAATTACAAACACCACAGAGCCTAAATGACAAATATATGTTAGATTATAATGCAAATTCTAAATCCATATTAATATAAATTATCATGGTCCAGCTTGCTGTACCAATGCAAAAATAAACTATATTAGCATCCAGCAATAGGACACTTAGATTTAAGTAGAAGATGAGTTAAGGAAACCTTCAAATGTGTGCAATATTAAGAAAGAAATTGTGCATTTTAAACTAAGCGATAGGTTGAAAATTCTAAGATGTCTATTTTTTTCTGTTGATAATATCAAAATTTAAAGATATATATGGACTACAGTGTACCAAATCTGCACATAAATGACTTGGCTTGCTAACTCACAGCAGTTTTGAGCTTGCTCTCAAAGAAAGATTTGGTTTTCTGTTGAAGCAATTCATGGCATATTCAGTACCAGAAAGCTATTCTGAAGCTATTAGTTCAGAAAAAATAACCATAAATAAAAAATGGGATTATGTACTCCTGCACTGTTTCGTCTCCTTTGAAAAATCATCTAGCCTTTTCTTCTCCCCAGAAGTAATGTTTTTGCTTCTGTGAAGTGTTATATCCTTGGACTGTTGATCTGTGTTTGATAATCCATCAAGACGTGAATCCTATTACATGTGAAAAGTTGTTACAAGAAATTAAAAATATGAAATATTTGTTTTATTTTATTCATACTCCTTTTACTATATAAATGCTGCACTGACAAACTACACTTTGTTTGGTTACATGCCTCAGTTTTCAAGTGAACTAGATGATTCAGAGAGGAGTAAAAGTTTATTCTTGCAGAAAAAAAAATAATACTAATAAAGATGATGACGATAATTATTTGTAATAATGGGAGCTGGTTAAAATGTAGGCTCTGAGGCCTCCCTCCAGACCTCCTAAATCAGAGTCTACATTTTAACCAGATCCGCTGTGATTCCTATGCAAATTAATGTTAGAAATCACTGTTCTAGTGTCTCTAGTTCCCCCCAGCACAGAGCCAGAAAGGAAGAGCCAGGCTTGGAGTCGCTGCCAGTCAATACCCACAACTGTTTGCATAGTAAATAGACGTGCTGGAAGTTTTAAATAACTAGCAAACTTGGTAAATACCTTAGAGTAGCATAAAATCTTGGAAAAAAAAGAAGCAGTGCAAAATTTATTTTCCTGAAAACTAACAAGACTTTTATATAATGGACAAAATATTTTATTTAGGCAGGCCATCTATTTCTCGGGATGTCTGGCTTTAGGGGCAGCGGGCATCAGCGGTTTCTACTGCATGAAGCTGAGTAGAGTCTGGATTCAATTTCAGGCACCAAGACCAGCCTCTTAGCCAGTAAATGGTTCTACAGACTTTTCATTACTTTGTCCCTATGATAGTAAAAGATAGTCGGCATCTCTACTTCTACAGACTGCCATTCCATTGGCAGTAGGGCAGGAGAGAGAGGTAGATGAGAGAATTCTAATTCTAATGAAGATTTTTTCTTATATTGAACTGACAACCTACCTTGAACTAATTTCTATTTTCTCACTTGCTGGATTTACACATAAATCTAGCCGCTTCTTATCTCATGTCAGTTTTGTATGAGGGAACTAAACTGAGTAAATAATTTTATATGGTAAAGTTTTGATCAAAGCCTAAAGCCTTGTATAGCTTTCAGAATTGAAGTTGAAATTTCATAAGTTAACTAACTATATTAACTAGTTCTTTATAGGTTAAATTCATAAATATTAAGATTTGAATCCAGTAAAAGTGATTTGAAAAGCATGAATTTTGTCACTTTCTACATTTTTAATGTATTTTCCTCCTCTCCCTTTTGGTTTTGCAGAAGAAATATCTGAAGACAATTTTAAAAGAGAAAATTTGTAAACCTGTATCAAGACACAAATATCCCAGAATTTCCAAGGCCTTTGTCAATGTTTTACTATCTCATGACAGTTTATTCTCTCTCTAAAGTTTGCTATGTTTCCTAAAGGTTTTATATTTTGACATCTGACAGTACTAAGGGCTTGATTTAGTCTAGTTTTGGACTCAAATAAACAAGGGGACCATTTTTTTTAATGCTAATATATACTTCCAACCTTAAAAGAGAAATTCACATACTGGTTATAAAAGAATTCTCCCTTTTTTTCACAAGGGTTTATAGAGCTTTGCTTTATTAAGTTGCATGAAAGGCTGGGTATAAAAGATAGAGTCAGAGAGTTTCCAGGATTTAGGGTAATGATTTTGAAGCACCTGAAAATACGGACCATGTCTTATTTGTCGTCAAAGATCAAAGACCTAGGACCTAGTCATTGCCTAAATAAATATTGACTTAAATATTGCTTTTGGTAGTTATGTGTACGTTTTATAAAGACTCAGAGGCAATGTCATCTTTAGAGAAAGTGCATTATAATTCTATAAAAATGTGATGAAGTTGCTATGACAGCACAGTATTCTATTGTCTTAATTGCACCTTGCTTTATAAAGTTACCGTAGCACATGGTTTAGTTGCTCCTCTCTCTCCTTCTTCCTGTCAGTGAAGACCTGTTGCTGCTCACAAGCATCCACTGTAAATATGGACGTTCTTATGAGATTTTCACTTTTTTGGAAATAGCCATGATGGCCAAATTCTCTTTCCTTAGAACCCCGCATAAATCACTGACTGTTTCATTCAAAGAAATGACTTTCCTCCCCTTTCCTCAAACGTCATAGTAAAAAAATGTGGGTCATACCCTTTTCCAGGTGGCTCATATTATACTGTAACAGGTCCAAGATATTCAGTTACAATTACTTTATGAAATATCTGTCTGTCTCTATATGGACCACATTTCCATGTTTTCAGCAATATTTTTCTAATTAACTATGTTTGCATTGATTTTACTCTTAAATATTTTACATTTTAATTGAACTTTTCTTTTTTAGCTGTGTTTTGGGGTGATATTGCCTTAGATGATGAAGACTTAAATATCTTTCAAATTGATAGGACAATTGACCTTACACAGAACCCTTTTGGAAAACTTGGACATACCACAGGTACAGTTGATTATTTGATTCAATTGGTGTTCATGTTCCAGAAAATATACTCTTGAAATGCTATAAGGACTCATTTTTAATGTCCTACTGATCAACTTTGATTTTCTGGATACAGATGAGCCTATTTGGAAATGTAGGTTTTGTTCATAGTTTTCATTTCATTAATTAATTTATTTAACAAACATGTTGTAGTGTTTACCATGTGCCAGGCCTGGTTTAAGTGCTTTGCAGATATTAACTCTTTGAATCCTCATGACAACCCCCTGAGAGTAGCTACTAATATAACTGTGATTGACAAGTGAGGAGATTGAGGTTTAGAAGGTTATATAGTTTGCCTATTGTCACATAGCCAGGAAGCAGCTGAATCAGGACCGAAATTCACTTGTGAGCAAGGCCAAATTTCGTACTCTTACTCATTATGTTAGGTTGCCTCCAATTTGGATATTGAGTTGTAATATGTCAATTATTCTTAGAGTAATTGTAAACAAACATTTATAAAAATTAATATATCTTTATCTATCCATCTATAATTTTTATGAAAACCCAGAAGAAAATTTCAATTTCAGTTGTTTGAACATGTTTGAATTATGCCTCTATGAGACTTGTAATATTTAACATGTTATTTGCATTCTCATTTAAATTTTTTTTTTTTTTTTTTTTTTTTTGTGAGGAGGACCAGCCCTGAGCTAACATCCAATGCCAATCCTCCTCTTTTTTGCTGAGGAGTACTGGCCCTGGGCTAACATCCGTGCCCATCTTCCTCTACTTTATATGGGACGCCGCCACAGCATGGCTTGACAAGCAGTGCATCGGTGCACACCCGGGAACCGAACCGGCGAACCCTGGGCTGCCGCAGCAGAGCGCACGCACTTAACCGCTTGTGCCACCGGGCCGGCCCTCATTTAAAAATATTTTTAATTAAAATTTAGAAATTCTTTATATCGTTTTGATACTGTTTTTGTTCTGTATTTTATTTTGGAGAAAAATTGCAAGGTTAAAAAGTTAAAATTTCTTTTTGTAATTATAGTTAAAAATTCATTTGGTCATGCTTTTTGATTTCATTGAATCTCCCTTCATGTCCAATACTATTTTTATTTTCTTCTTCTATTCCATGGAAAATAAAATATATAGTTCCTTTTTGGTATTTAGCAGACAAATACATTATAGACTGAAGACTTTTTGCTGTGAATTAATATCTTCCTTTGCCCAATTTACATTTCTTTGTAACTTTAAAAAAAAATTATTTTATCGAGGTCATATTGGCTTATTTTTGTAACTTTTTATTGTGATATATTTCAAATATATGGAAAAGTTGATAGGATAGTGCAAGAAACACAATACACTGGTATTCCCACCTCTGAGATTCAACAATTGTTAATGGTTTTCCATATTTACTCTGTGTGTCTATACACATATATGCATAAATGTGTATAAAACAACATTTTGAAATTAATTGCTGACAACATAGCACTTTATATTAAGTGAGTTTGTATGCACTTTATAAGGACATTATTCTATATAATCAAAATACTGTTATCATGTCTAAGAAATTTATATAAGATAATAAAACCTAAGGAATTTATTTAAAATAATAACACACACTACTTAAAAAAATAGTATGCTTTGGCCTTTGTTATATGTGGTGACAGTGTTTTCTGAAACATATACCAAATATGGGAAGAAAAGTTTGCTTTGCAGTGTAATCATAGATAGTACATTCCTGTAGGATACGTTAATTGACAGACTCTCCAGTTGCTATCTCACACATAACACAGCCACAGAGACAATGCATCCTGGACAAGAGAACAGTGATACAACTCAGCAAAATCCTAGATTTATCATGTTACATTTATCAGTTTTATTAAAATTTTCCTTGGCTTCAAGCTTTATTCAGATCATTTCTTTAATCCATCGTCCCTCCATGGTTTTGAGGGTATTCATTTTCCGTAATTTAAAATTTTTTAATACTATTTAATTTTGTCATTTCATTTATAGTTAAGCTCTGAAATAGTAATAACTGGAGGAAAAAAATACCATTATTTTAGATAAATAGCATAAAATAGATTATACCATCAATCATAAAAAACATTTATTCTAAATATATATGTGAAAGGTACACACATTTGAAAGTAACTTGTACTGTTTAATTTCAAACACTGTAAATGTATCCTATATTTTATTTTTTTCTTACTCTATCTTTTCCCTTTCTTGTTAGCTTGTGCCAGATTGACTATATTTCTCATTTCCTATTTTAAACTGTATAGTTTTTCCCACAAATATTTATGTAGTTTGTATATTTTCATTTTGTTTTTAGAATCTGTGAAATAACTACTTATTTTATGAATTTTTTTCTATTTTAATGAAATTCCTGCACATAATTTTATTTCAATTACTATAAAAATTATTCAAAATTGCTAAATATTACATTATTAAAAACATTATTGTCTTTAATAGTCTTGAAACATTGTTTTTTAAAATTCTAATAATTACTTTTATTCCTATAATTACTTTAATATTAACTAAGACGTTTCTTTTTTTTCTCATAATTAGCCTCCTTCTAAATTATTTATGTGTGTTTCAGGCCCACCTAATATGACATATAATTGTTACATAATGGTCATTTCAAACACATAAATGCCATCCTTTAAAAATGTTTCTAGTAACTGCTTAGGAATGAATACATTTAAGTATTACCTAATCTTTCTAAAATGTTCGATGAAAAAATTTCAAAAATTTTTCTCCAGGGGCACAGCAAAAATGTGACCATGTAATGCAAATAATTAAGCAGATTATTAGTCAGTGAACAAGCACTCTAACTTATGTGCCTTATAAGGACTTAATTGATTTTTCCTATAAGAAGTTTATATGGTAATAATTTTTATTATTGTTTTTGTTATTTATTAGCTTCTATCTAAGTAATTAAGTTTCAGTATTAATTTCAAAGGGGAAAAAAAGATATTGGAAGGAAATAGTTCAAAGTTCAAGAACAGTTTGTTGTCTTCATGGATTTCTGGTCCTATTTTATTGTCTTAGCCTAAACAGACTCATGAACCATGGGCATGCTTAGTGGTACAAATTCATCTGCACTTGCTCTGATGTCATTAGTGGCTAGATGGGTTGTTTGCTCACTGATACCTCTTTATCATTCATCTATTAAACATTCAGGAGAAGGCAAAATAGGAGATAAAATTGGGACAACATATTATTAAAGCCCTGAGATGAGAATCAGAGGATGTGGATTTTCATCAAATCCTCTGCTTTCTGACTTATGGCAGGAATCTACTTTTTCTAGACTTTGTTGATAAAATTGCAAGAAGACCTACTTCCTTATCCCGACCCTCTCCTCTATCTTTTGAGCTACAAAATTCATTACATCTATTTTTATAAATTTTTCAAATTACATAGTATAACAATGTATTTTGCAGCTGAACATCCTTTTGGATTCTTACCTTGTGACATTTTTCTAATTATGTGTTATTGTTTTTTATAAATTATAGAAACTAATTTTCAAAATGTATTTGAATATATTATAAAATATATGTTTTTAGAAATATTTCAAAATTGATCAAAGCTTTGGAGCAAAACTCTCACTACACTTTGGCTCTTCTAATGTTTTTATTTCCATTTGCTGATTTGGCATCTGAAAATATTCAGTTTTCACTGGGGAAATAGCTGGAATGCAGTCAACAGGGCAGAACAACTTGCTGTCATCCTGCTCAACACCATATGGTGTCAAGGTCACAGTGAAGAAAAATTTTTCAGATTATCAATAGATGACTCGATTGTCATAATGTCCAAATAAAGTCATTTAGATTGCTCTCTGGATCTCTCCCACCCCCTTACTTTGAGTTACCAAAATTTGCTGTAGAATTTTTACTCTCTTCAAAAATTCATGGATATTCATAATTCTAACACACTAAGACCATATAAAAGAAGATGTCCAAAGGGGAATCAATGTGGCCTATTTCTATTGTTTATTTCCAAGAACTTTACGTACAGTGAGTTTAACTTAACTATTTTCTTTTACTCTTTAAGGTGGACTTGGAGACCATGGTATGTCAAAGAAACGAGGGGCCCTCTACCAACTTATAGACAGGATACGAAGACTTGGCTCTGGTATATCAATGTTTAAAGTTGCAGAGGCTTGACTTGATGGACCGTAAATATTATACTCATAGCAGTTCAGTTTGCCATTGTGATGCAAAATATGTAAAGGATGTACACTGAGAAAGAGTCTTTTATTCATTTTCATTTTGTTAGTTGATGTTATATTAAATTTTTTAGAATTTAATTTGGGTCAATTGAAATGTTTCTTTAACTTATTTTCAGCTTCTCCTTATAAAAATGTATTAGGTGTTTATTTTATTGTTGATATTTATTTCCATTAAATTTGGTATTACACTAAAGTGCTTTTATCAAGCATGGAACTACATCAATTTTAATCATATCAAAAAATATCATGGCTGTTTGTTTTGAAATAAAATCCGCTTAAAGTAAATTAAGAAACTGATTTGTTAGATTAAAAAATAGTTTAAAATGTTTTTGACCCTCCAAAAAATATGTAGAGAAAGACATTCAGAAAAACTGCTTTTGGTTTCATAATTAGTCAATATTTATAGTGTTGAATTTATTAACCACTATTTGTAGATTTTAGAGTTTTTTATAAAGTCTTCTATTTGAAGTTTATATCCTAACATCCTTTAAATTAATGGATTATTAATTAAATATTTGAAAGTGCCTACTTTCAAGGAATAATTTTCTCAAGCAAAGATGCTTTGTTCTAGGACATTAAAAAGGTAGACATTTTAGGGACATGGGAATGGGGGCATAGATTCAATATTTGTTGTGTCTGAAGTATATTCTAGTGGTAGGACATTTGTATCAACAGTGATAGATGAATGAGAAAGAATAATCATGCATATTTGGGAACAACAAAAATATTGTGAAAGGCCACCAGGAAAATTAATGACTACAGACTTGAAAGCTGCTCCAAAATAGACTGCATTTTATGTTGGCCTGTTCGCTTTGTGTACTGATCTCTAAATCATGCTATATACTTGGGTTGAACCCAGAAGAAATTGGAGTGGATAGCCCATTGTCCCAGAAGGCTGAGACCATATCTGTTTTAACCTTATTGTGTATACATTCTCTACAGTGTAATGTTCATAACTTTTGGCTGTACTACAGAATATCAATCCTGATTTAAAGGATTAGGGATTTAGCAGGATTAAGAAGAGTTTTGAATATCAAACAACGTCTATTTTATCGTCTAGTGGTGGATTGGTAGTGATCTAGTAAATTTGAATTACATAAAATGATTTTTCTGTGGCCTACAAGTTTGCCTGACTTACTATTCACTATAAACTCTTGTATGGAAATTCATCAAAATTTGCTCATGGAGCATTAAGAAATAGTATTTTGACATGAAATATTCAAATATTTTAATGTGTTTTAAAGTATGTAATATAAGTGAAGTTTTTCTTTAATACATTTTGACTTCAGGCATATTTATACAAATATGTAAATAAGACATTTTAACTTTTGTCCTTTAAGAGGTAAATGATTCTCTGACCGAGGACTTCTGTTTCACAGAATGTTTTAAATGTCACTACAGGCTTGGAGCAAAACAACACAGTGAAGGGAAAAGTACCTCTAAAATTCTCAGGGCAAAATGAGAAAAATCGAGTTCCCAGAGCTGCTACATCAAGAACTGAAAGAATATGGCCTGGAGGCGTTATTCCTTATGTTATAGGAGGCAACTTCACTGGTAAGATATTCCCAGAGTGTCTATTCTGATAAATAATAATGATACAATTATCTTACATGGTACATCATATCATACAGTATATATTTTTATAGAATATTAATATATAAAACATAGCATTCTGGGGCTGGCCCCGTGGCATAGTGTTTAAGTTTGCATGTGCTGCTGCAGTGGCCCAGGATTCACAGGTTCAGCTCCCGGGCGCGGACCTACATGCCGCTCATCAAGCCATACTGTGGCTGTGTCCTGCATACAAAATAGAAGAAGACTGGCACAGATGTTAGCTCAGGGACCATCTTCCTCAAGCAAAAAGAGGAAGATTGGCAACAGATGTTAACTCCAGGCCAATCTTCCTCACTAAAAAAAACCCAACCAACCAAATAAAAAAAAACACACAGCATTCTCTCAAACTTGAGAAATACTCCACTCACCTCCGTCGTTACTTTAGAATGTCTTTGAAATTGAAAACTATTTTCAGTCTTGAGTTCTAAGAGTCTAAAATACTGCTCTGGTTTTTAAACTGAGTTTCAAAGGTACCCATTAAATCCAGAAGCTGGTTTCTCTTCAACGGATAGGAAGAATGTTTAAGTCCCATTTATAGAGTTTTGTAGACACGTATTTGTAGAGATAGTCAGCTTGAACCTTCTGATTATGAGGTGAGTGTCCATTCTTAACAATGATGTATTTGTGGTGCTCTAGGCTAGTGTTCTTTGGTTGATGATAGTGGTGGCGTCTGAACTGCCCAGCTACACTCTGGAGGGAGGAGCCAGCATGCAGCACCCCTCCCTGGGCCGGACACTGTTTTATTAACGTTACGCCATTTTTCCAGGCAGCCAGCGAGCCATGTTCAAGCAGGCCATGAGGCACTGGGAAAAGCACACGTGTGTGACTTTCATTGAAAGAAGTGATGAAGAGAGTTACATTGTATTCACGTATAGGCCTTGTGGGTAAGTAGAACCAGGGAATGACTTAAGTAAGTTTAGAAGGGAAAAAAAAATCCATAGGTAGGAATCATTTCTCAATATTTGCTTAGTGTATTTTGCCCATCAGAAAGTGTGAATTTTACATAAGAAAATGTTATATTTTAAATTAATATATTTATATTTTAAATAAATATATTCTTTGGTCACAGACCTTCCCGCATCTACCCCAAGTGTGTTCCTCCACCGCCTTGGCCACTTTTCCTTGTGTTCTAAGTATAACAGTGGCATTACCAACGTCCCACTCACCTGGGTTAGAAACTTCAGTATCATTGTCTAGCGATTCTGTTGTGTTGCCTCTAAAATCTATGCAGTAAGTTTCTATTGATATTCACTTTGTCTTTTGGTTTCCACCTCTATCCCATGTCAGTGCCCTGATCCATTCGTGTCTTTTGTCATCTCACACCTGCTCTATTCCAATTGCTCTCCTGTCTTGCCTCACCAATTCACTGCTGCTAGAATTATCTTCAAAAAATGCTGGCCAGAGCAAGTTATCACACTTTTTGAGATTCTTCAGTGTTTCCTCCTACAGTGGTGTTTTCTAGATTTGCTTCTTACAGGATGATAACAAATACTCTTTCTAAAACTATTCTGTAAGTAGCAAAAACGCTGTGCTAAATTTCAATAGGTATTTCTACAGCAATGTGCTAATGAACATTATTAATATTGAACCAGTTGAAAGGAATACAGTGTTTTCTAAACTTATTTAGAAAGGGAACATCCATCCCGCCCTTTTAAAAGTGAAGAATTTACATCAGTATCCCAGAACACATTTTGGGAAATGCTAGCCTGAGAATAAAATCCAAATTCCTTCCTATAACATTTAAGGAATGCCGTGAACTTACCACAGCTACCATCTGCAGCTCCTTCTGCCACCACATCTCTCCACAAGCCCCATCATCCAGCCAAGTCGCAGAACGAGCAGCTCACCAAGCAACGCTGGACACTTGAAAAGACGTTTCATTGTGAAAGTTTTCAAACATCTCTCCCCTGTCTTTCTAGTTAATTGGAACTTATATTTAAATATTTTGTTAAATTCAGCTTGAATTTTTGGTTGTTTGTTCGCTAAGGATACTTAATAGGGTGTGCTGTCTACTTGACATGATGTCACATCGGGAGGCACACGTGTCTGGACCTCCCGCTTTAGAGATGCTATGAATGATCAGTGGATTCAAGTGGTGATAGCCAGGTCCCTCAATTGTAAAAGTCCCATCATTGCAAAATCGTGATTTTCCAACGCTATTCCTTTATTTATTCTACATTTATTGGCTGAGATTCTTCTGTAAAGAAGAGTTTTCTGTAATCAGCTATAGCAGTTTGAATGCCCTGTAGTATAGTTCATATAGGGGAGTAATAATAAGTGCTTAATTCCTTTGGAGGAAGTTGTTCTTGCCCTAATGACATGTACTTTTTCAGGGAAAAATATATATATTTCATTAGGTATTGGAGGGAGGGATTAAGTCGTCTGGCTTGGTTCTTCAATATTTTCCTAGAACATGTAATTTAATTTAAAAAGGGATGGATTTTATCAAAAAGTCAAGAAATAACAAGTGTTGGTGAGGATGTGGAGAAAAGGGAACCCTGGTGCACTGTTAGAGGCAATGTAAATTGGTGCAGCCACTGTGGAAAACAGTATGGGGGTTCCTAAAAAAATTAAAATAGAACTACCACATGTTCCAGCAATTCCACTTCAGGGTATTTATCTGAATGAAATGAAAACACTAACTTGAAAAGATATATGCACCCCCGTGTTCATTGCAGCATTAGCCAAGATATGGAAGCAACCTAATTGTCCAGTGATGGATGAATGGATAAATAAATATGCTATGTATATACAGTGGAATATTATTCAGCCATAAAAAGAGGGAAATCTGGCCATTTGTGACAACATGGATGGACCTTGACTTGAGGGCGTTATGCTAAGTGAAATAAGTAAGACAGGGAAAGACAAATACCGTTTGATCTTACTTATATGTGGAATCTAAAAAAACACCAAAACTCATAGATACAGAGAACAGATTGGTGGTTGCCAGAGGCAGGGGTGGTGGGTATAGGAAATGTGTGAAGGTGGTCAAAAGGTACAAACTTCCAGTTATGTAAGTTCTGAAGATGTAATATACAGCGTGGTGACTGTAGTTCATAATACTGTATTGTGTATTTGAAAGACGCTAAGATCTTAAAAGTTCTCATCATAAGAAAAAAAATTTTGTAACTGTGTGGTGATGGATGTTAACTAGACTTATTGTGGTGATCATTTTGCAATATACACAAATATCAAATCATTATGTTGTACATCTGAAACTAATATAATGTTATATGTCAATTATATTTCAATAGAAAAGTAATTTAAAAAGTAATGGATTTAATTTTGACCCTATCTGAGTGACTTTAAGAAAAGTTATACATTATTACCTTTCTATATTTTTTGGATAGTGCCCTAAGTTTTTAGTTATGACTTACTCAAGTAATGTTTCCTTCTAAACTACTTTAATTTTAGCTTGATAAGTTTTGTTACATTTGAAATGCCTCCTAGTTCTTAATATCTATTTAATATTTAAAAGGTCCAAATCTAGACTGTCCTGCCTTCCTTCTGGGTATCTACAAGGAGTGGATATACCTCAGCTCACATATTTCTAAATATATAATGTCTTCAAATCAATACGTCTTTCCTCTTCCCAGCCTTTGATTTTGTAAAACAAATATATTCAAAGCACTGAGCACTTGTTATTTTATTGCTCAATTTCTGTTTGTAACAAATTCATATTTATACTCATTTTCTTTTATTAATTTGACTTTTTAAAGTTTTCCATTTTACTTGTTTTATTCCTCTAAACCTGGAGGATGTTAGAAACTAAGATAATACCTAGACATGTTTAAACCATGTTTTTATAAACTGTTCATATTACCCTATCATTCCACACCTAATTATCTGTGCATATATTTAGTTATTTATTCATCTGAGCATCTAAAATTCTTCTTCCCTAGACCTGTAGTATGTCAGAGATTAAACCACCACATTTTTCTTCTTTTACAGGACCATTGTAAAAGTCAGTGTGAAATGTATTTTTGCTTTATGCAAAAATATTTTTGCATTATGAAACCCCATTTTATTTATTGGAAATTTCTATGGGTGAAATTATGCTAAAAAAGGTGTTTTAGATTAAATAAATTGACCATATTGCTTGACTATCTCCCAGATTTTTATTTGCAAAGACTTTCTTCTCTGAATATAACCAGCAAGAATGACTCAGTGTGGGTAATTTAGTTGCTATATAATCATCAGATATTTCAGTTTCATTACTATTGCTTTATGGTAGCAAATGATTCATTTTAAATCTCTCAAATTTGCAAATTTTATGTTTTTCTACATCTAATGCTTTACTATTTGGATATGTAATAAATAACTATCTATGTATGGATTAAAACATGGTATTTAAAAAAAAAAATCTATCTGGGGGCAAAAAGAACTCCCTGATGTTTTCCCTAACAGTTACCTCTCTCTTTTTTCTATTATTGATTTATTAAACTTAATTAACTGTTATAATAGATTCATAAGTAATAAATTGAATATTTCATCTAGCTGGCACGGTGTAGGTTAAAATGCTTAGGCATTTAAAGCCTACAGAAATAATGGCAAATGTTTTTATTTGTTAGCAATCAAAAGGACAATCAAATGTACTTACTCTGGAAATTGAAATTAGTGAAATTCCTTTTAATCATTTGGGCACTTAATTTTTGGCAATTTTCTCTCTTTTTTTTTTTTTTTTTTTTTTTTTTTTTTTTTTTTAAGATTTTATTTATTCAGTTTTTCCCCCCAAAGCCCCAGTAGATAGTTGTACGTCATAGGTTCACATCCTTCTAGTTGCTGTACGTGGGACTCGGCCTTGCGTTGGACGGAGAAGTGGTGCCTCGGGGCGCTCCCGGGATCCGAACCCGGGCCGCCAGCATCAGAGCGCGCGCACTTAACCGCTAAGCCACGGGGCCGGCCCCAATTTTCTCTTTTAATTTAATAAATCAGAAAAGGTGTTGGTGTCTGGTGTACCATGATTCCCTACTATTTGAGACCAATTATTTACTGCCCTTTATTGCTATCGAGAGAGGTAGTCCTATAGATAAGCTATTTTACTGTAACGTAATTATTGTTTTAGATGTAATTTTATTTATAATTGTAATTGTAGTTCCTATATTATTATACTATTTAAAACATTTTAAAATGAGTATCCCCGTGTGCCCACCCTTGCACGTGTGTGCGCACTTTGTCATGCACGCTCACACACATGCATGTATGCCCACACACGCAAAATGAATACATGGAACTTCTATATTGTGGGTAAGAAAACATCAGTGAGTATGTATCAGTAAATTGAGGAAAATTTGCAGAAAGATACTCTGCATGTTTCATATTCTGGCAGTCCAGGAGATTCTTTCAGAAAGTGAAATAGAATATCACACTTAAATATTAGCCCAACCATTTGACACAATCTTATAAATCTCATAATTCCACCAGTTGTCAATTTTGCTTCCCCAGTTAGCCATTACTCTTAGATAATTCACCTTTTGAAACTAATTTTCCTCAACTGACTTCTTCTTTTAAAAATTTTCTTCTTTAAAAAAAATTTTCCCATGAGCAGGAAAGCAAGTCCTTTTTTGATTAACCAACATCTTTCTTAAATAAATTTAACTCTGTTTTTCTCAAAGAGGAAAAATAAACTTTGTTTTTATATTTAATAATGAAATAATGGATTATTGTCAGATAACCATATTGACAAAGTAGTTACCTAAATAATTTACATAGATTGTGAGGATAAAAAATTATATTAGAAATAAATGTGAGTTATATACACAATAAATGTGATATATATAGACAATGGAATACTACTCAGCTGTAAAAAAAAGATGAAATCTTGCCATTTGCAATAACATGAATGGACCTTGGGGGTATTATGCTAAGTGAAATAAATCAGACACAGTCAAATACTGTATGATTTCACTCCTAAGTAGAAGATAAAAACAACAACAACAACAAACAAATGTATAGATACAGAGATTAAATTGGTGGTTACCAGAGGGAAGCAGGGAGGGAGAAGGGCAAAAGGGGTGATAGGGCGTATGTGTATGGTGATGGATGGTAATTAGTCTTTGGGTGTTGAACATGATGTAGTGTACACAGTAATCGAAATATAATGATGTACACTTGAAATTCATATTATGTTATAAACCAATGTTACCTCGATAAAATAATGTGAGTTGCTGTCTTGAGTTTAACTATATGTATAATAGCCCATTAATCATCATCATAAGTATTTTATTTTCTGATTTATCTTCTGAATACTCCTAAAATGATTTAAGGCATATCTTCTAATATATGAATTAGTACAAAAGCCCTTTGATTTTTTGGAGACTTTTATTGTAGATAAATTTCCCAGGATGCTAGAAATTAGCCATATTTATTAATGAAAGCTCTTCTGCTTCTGAATGTGTTGGACTTTATAGTTCATCACAATTCTTTACAAAAGTTTCACCATATTGTAATTCACCCAGTATCAGCCTGTTCACCACCATCTCCACTTTCTACTTTATTCCAGATGCTGCTCCTATGTAGGTCGGCGGGGAAATGGACCTCAGGCAATCTCTATTGGCAAGAACTGTGATAAATTTGGAATTGTTGTTCATGAATTGGGCCATGTGATAGGCTTTTGGCATGAACACACACGACCAGATCGAGATAACCATGTAACCATCATAAGAGAAAACATCCAGCCAGGTGAGAGGCTTCAGGATGTGTTGAGTTTAAGGTTGACTGAATATCTTTTAATTGTATTTATGCAATTTACCATTTAACTTAAAAAATGTGAACTTAATTTTTTGATATTGTAGATCAACCGTTTGCTTGATTCAAAAATACCCATGATGTTATATTTTTAATTTTTTCCTACAGAGTGAATGATCTTATGCATTTTTTAGGCTTGCTTTTTTTCTTAAGATTTAGCTGTTTTTATATAAAAACTTCTGTGCTTTCCAAGAATGGGTGTAGGCTATTGAATCGTAAATTAATATGATTAAATATTTCTTTTTAAAAAGCATTTTCTAAACCTAGTTCTATAGTTTATGTTGTAGGTATTTAGGAAAGGTCCAGGAAACATGCTGCTACCCTAGGAATCCATACTATACCGGAGGAAATTCCAGGGAAGTGAGCCATTTCCAGGATAGTCTAAATAGTTTCTTTGAGTTTTCCCCATAAACCTGACTATCCTAAAGACAAATTCTTAAGAATTTTTTCAGTAGTTGAAATATAATATATAATTAAACTTTAATTTTCTCTAAAAGTTGATATGTGATAATAGCCTCACTTTGAAGCGTTTTATTTGAACTTTCATAAATTCATAAAGATCAGTACATTTCAATTTCCAAAAGAGAATCCTGTTGTTTGGAATTCTCTTACAGTGTAGTGTGTATTTCAAGAATAAGCAAAACAAAGATGTGTCCTTATTTCCTTATGCATGGCCAGTTTTAAGTTACAAACATTGAATTCCGTAGCATTTCCTATAATTAACATCATTGATCTATTTATTTGCTCATCCCATATTTTTTGCCAATTATTTATTGAGGCACTTTAGATTTGGGAGATACTGTCATGAAAATTGCAACGCTTATAGGGTATGTCCATATATACAAATGATTGCAAGCGAGTGAGAAAAGTAACAATAGTTGTTTGTTGAGAATACTCAAGCAAGGTGTGACAAAATGTGCCTTGGCAAGTCAAGGGAGATGTCACAAAGGAGCTGAAATTTAGAAGTAAAATAGAAGTATTCTAAGCCCACAGAAGAGTGATGGAATTTCAAAGCTGAAAAATCATCATGATCAAAGCTACAATTATGGAAAATTGAACCATTTTTATTTGCTCATTCTGGCTGCCTGGTAAGTTACAAGTGAGATTAGTTGGTAATTATGTACGGAGATTAGATCCTAGGGATCTTCTATATGAAGCTAGGAAATTTAGATTTTATCTTCTAACTACAGGGGAATAATTGGAGGATTGAAAGCAGAGTAAGTTCAGATAAAAAAAAGAAGAATTTGTTCAGTGATAAGAATCTTTAACTGGAAATGGGGAAGTGGGGGTGAAGAGGATGAACCTGAAGTCAGGAAAACCTATTAGAAGCTTAAATAAGTAGTTTATAAGAGATGAGTAAGTCTTCAGGGTGGAGCAGGCCAAGAGGAAAAAGAGGGAATAATTTTTCAAAAATATTTTAAGAGGAACATCGTTATGTGAGAGGAAAACTTCAAGGTTTTATTTTAGGCAACAGCATGAAACGTGGCACCATCAAATGAAATATGAAGTATGGATAAAGCAATGTTTTTGAGAGGGAGAAAGACAAATAACGATTTCATTTAGCATATCCTTGAGTTTGAGAAGCCTTTGAATGATCCAAGTGGAGCTGCTTAGTAGACAAAGGAAAGGTGAGTCTAGACTTTAGGGTATATCTAGAAATAGAAATTTGATAGTGGATTTGACTGTCTAGGGAAATGCTGGAGAGAGAGGAAAGTAAGATTGAGGATGGAAAATGGGGAACACCAATATTTAAGCAACAGTTTGTGGAAAATTCCCCAAAAGACTAAGAAAGTTTGGTCTAAGAGGTAGGAGAAAAATCAATGAATGTGGTGTCTCAAGGAAGAGACCATTGCAAGAATAATGAAGTACAGTAGTCCCTCCTTATCTACCGTTTTGCTTTCCATGGTGTCAGTTACCTCAGTCAACCGCGGTCTAAGAATATTAAATGGAAAATTCGAGAAATGAACAATTCATAAATTTTAAATTGTGTGCCTTTCTGAGAAGCGTGATGATATTTCCAGCTGTCCCACTCCCTCTTTCTTGGGAGGTAAATCATCCCTTTGTCCATGTATCCACCCTGTGTACGCTACCTGCCCGTTAGTCATTAGTCACTCAGTAGCCATCTGACTTTCACAATGCGTCTGTTCAAATAACCCTTATTTTGCTTAATAATGGCCTCAAAGTGCAAGAGTAGTGATTCTGGCAATTTGGATATGCCAAAGAGAAGCCGTAAAGTGCTTTCTTTAAGTAAAAAGGTGCAAGTTCTCGACTAATAAGGAAAGAAAAAAAATTGTATGCAGAAGTTGCTAAGATTCATGGTAATTTATTCACTATATTGTTGTAATTGTTGTATTTTATTATTAGTTATTGTTGTTAATCTCTTACTGTGCCTAACATAAATTCAACTTTATCATAGGTATGTATGTATAGGGAAAAAAATAGTATATATAGGGCTCAGTACTCTCCGTGGTTTCAGGCATCTACTAGGGGTCTTGGAACATACCCCCCATGGATAAGGGGGGAATACTGTCATCTGCAGTATTGAATATCAAAGAGAAGTAAAGACAATGTATACTCCCAATATAGAAGACTCTAACTGCTGAGCCAGCTATCAAGGTTCATCTTATACTTTATATCATTAGGAGAGCAATAAAGAGGAAATAATATTTCTGAAAATTATTTCAACTATCAGTTAAATGAGAAGTTTGCTGTTAACCATAGTTATTGTTTCCTCTATTATGTGGACAAAACAACTTATAAAGGAAGTAACTTGCAAGAATGATTCCTACTTTTAAAAATAGGACTCTTATTCAACATAAGTATGCACCTAAAACAAGCAAGAAATGGATAAATAGTATGGAAATGTACAATACTTAACACAGTGCTAAGCAAATTTTGGCTATCTGTATTTTTGTAGACTCAACCTTCAGACCAATAAAAAAGGATAATTTACTGGGTAAGATTTCCTAAGTATTCGGAACTTCTATAGCAGGGCAATTCTAGTATGAAAGAGTTCATGTTGGAGATTAATCTTCAACAAATTTATGATTTGTCCTGGTTCGGAAACTTAAAATCAAGTGTTATTCAAGGGCAACTTCTAATAAGTGCAGACTGTAGCTTTGCATTTATATGCTAAATTAGTGACTATGGTAGGAGCCAAATTGGCATAAGGATTGGATTACTTTAATCTGTCTTAGAATATGCCTTCAAGAAGGAGGCTCATCATTTTTTATTGTTTAGGATGAGTTCCCCTGGTGCTCTGTATCTCTGATCCTCTTCCCCTCTATCATGAAATTAGTCAAATTTTTCTTTATTTGGACCATGTATGGCCATGTTCTTTTTAACAGTGTGTCATATACATGTTAAATGCTCAGTTATATGCATCCAAGTGTATTACTGAAGTTGCTTAATGTTCTACTTTCAGAAATTTTTATGAAACATTTTGCTTTACTTAGAGAATATGTTCCCATATTGAAGTTGAAATCTCCAGTGGGTTATAGATTAATATCTACAAAATCAGCTCCATAGCTGTATGAAAATCTCACCTTAGAAATGGATATGTTAAAATACACTTACAATTCCTTATGAAGGAGAGTTTTAACAGTCACTTCTATCAGAGGTTGGAGATAATGCAGGGTATTTCCTGAGAATGGTTGTAATTGAGATACACACCAGAGATTTGCGGAGCATATATTTCACCATATGGTCTGGTTAGTGCATTAAAAACTATTTATTGTGTGAATTCACTGAAAGATGGACCCAAAACACTTCACTCTGGGACTTGGGTTCTGTAACTTCAGGCTGATTTTCTCATCCTTAATACTCAAGTGAGTATACCAGAATTCTTTATTACACGTAGGAGGGATATTTTATTCCATAGCATCACTCAATTTCTTTACTGCCTTTTGGAAAACGTTTTACTAATCTGATATTTTTATATTTAATAATAATATAACAGTTGGAATAAAAACCTAGTTAGATGAGTGTTGTAATAGTTCCATTTTGAACTCCAACTTTGAATTTGGAATCCTAATAGCTCACCTTTACACTTTGATGTTTCAAAGCTTTTTAAGTTACATAAATGAGCCATAAAAGCAATGCCATCTTTGGCTGCTGAAATTGTGAAAACTGAGTTCCTGAAACCTAAACTCTATCTGTGGAAATTCTCTGCTTCTGGAACTGTTGATATAGATCTACATATTTAACTTGGTTATTTTCAAATTTCAAGAAATAATATTCCAATACAGATACAAAACAGGCAGTTGAGAAACCTATTAACATGAAGATGTCTAGAAGTTAAAGTAACAGCTGTGACAAGTTAAAAAAAAAATTATTAAGTTCTGAAGCATATTCTTTTTGATCACAAAGACCTCCAAGTAGATCCTCCTTTTCATCCAAGAGAATCTTGTTTCAGTTTTTTGGGTTTTTTTTGGTGAGGATAATTGGTCCTGAGCTAACATCTATTGCCAATCTTCCTCTTTTTGCTTGAGGAAAATTGTCCCTGAGCTAACATCCGTGCCAGTCTTCCTCTATTTTGTATATGGGACGCCACCACATTGTGGCTTGATGAGTGGTGTGTAAGTCCATGCCTGGGACCCGATCTCCTGGGGGCCACTTAACCACTATGCCACCAGGCCGGCCCCTTGTTTCAGTTTCGAAGGAAATTTGCTGCTGCTGTTTTATGTTTAGTGACAAAGTCACATAGCTAATGCCCGAAGTGTTGTGTGTGCATACAAATATTGTTTTTATATTTTTCCCAGTGTTTCAGAGAAAGAACCTAAAGCAAATAAGAAGATAATTTTTGTTGGTCTTGGCAAATATAGTCATAAGAGAAAAGTGGGAAACTCATTAGGTAAAAATGTAACTTTTTATAATCATTCCTACAGTACTGAAAAAAGTAGTAAGATCTTAAAAAAACAAATATTATGAGATGTTGAAAGTGTACATAGAAAACAAACACAAAGGACGCTTTTGGTAATCTACGTGTTTGCTGAAATTAACTTATAAATGAAATTCAATATTAGTCTTTCAATATGATATTTAAGTGAACACAGTGGTACTGGATGTTACCTCTGCGCATACCTGGGTGGTAATACATAAATACAACCAGCATGAAGATCAGCCATTTAATAAAGAGCAGACGCAGGCCTAGGAAGGGCTCTTCTGCTCTCTTTTTTGTCTGTTAAAAGGCTTCTAACACCTTTTGTGCCTCATTGTTGTCTGTGCCTGATTCTTAGGTCAAGAGTACAATTTTCTGAAGATGGAGCCTGGAGAAGTGAACTCACTGGGAGAGCGATATGATTTTGACAGCATTATGCACTATGCCAGGAACACCTTCTCAAGGTTGGAGTCTCAGGTTATACCTTTTGACTTTTAATTCCTTTCCTCTGTGTGGCTCCTTACAAAACCATGTTTAACATTAGAACTAGAACCACTTTCAAATATTGCTGCCATAAAGTACGAAAAATACTTGATTGGCGTTTATAGCCAACATCAGGCGTTTGAGATTTTTAAAACATATTTTCACATTTCCTATCAATTGTATGTATTCAAAGTAAAAATTAAAATGGCATGAATTATTTAAACTGTTTCATATTCCTAAATCATAAAAAAGTTCAATTAAGATGATTACCAAACCAATCAGCATGTTAAATTGGCATAAGCATTATTTAATGAAAATTAGGTATTTGCAAGTCAAATAGAGTACTCAGTTGTTGAGTTGGAATGTTATGCTCTCTGTGCAACTTGTGTTTTCTACTATGTGTTTTCTATTGCTCAAGTACTCATTATACTCAAAAATTGCTATACGAAATTAATTCTCAGATAAATTGTTAGGAAGATATTTTACTTCACTTAACTTAGATTTTTGCCTTTTATTAACCTTAAAGTTATTTCATTAATGACTGAATGCTATTTTTTAAGAGTGTAATAAATTTGGGTTTTGATCTACTTCACTCTAAAGATGATGTCATCAAGCAAATAGTTCCCAGGTAAGGAATTCAGAACTGTTAAACCATTGAAATCATTACTTTTTCCCATTTTATGCCCATTTTACACTCCTATGTTCATTCCAGCTCGTTCTTTTTGCCCACATACGTCCATTTCATAATTCATTAACATCTGTTTATAAAGTTTGGGTCAGGAAGAAGATAAACAATTCAAATTAATTCCCCTGTTTTTTAAAAAAAATTCTTGGTAAAAAGTAGAGCAAGATTGTGTAAAAGAACTCTTAGTACTTGGATACATTTTTAAATTCTGCTTTCTTTTAGGCCAAACTTTATTATTAAAAAAATTGAGTGTTAACTGTGTGTTAAAAATCATTTTGTTCTGAAGTATATATAATATATATATATTTGTTCAAATATAGTAACTATCCAAATACTGTTTCTGGAATTAAATTTAAGTTTTAGTAGAAATATGCTCATAAATTTCGCCTGAAATTTATCTTAAAGAGTTATAAAACTTTGTTTTTAGGTCAATACTTGGAACTGTTTTCCATAGAAACTTGTAACAAATGGTGGTTTGGGCCCCAGTTCAGCCAAGGCGCCTCTCTTATGCTGCTGAATTATATTATTTAGAAATAAACTGAGTTTTGATTCTTTGGAACAGAGGAGGTAGTGGAGAGTAGAGAAAATAATTTATTCTTTCTGTCTTTGATAGATGATGAATCTATGCCAAAGTTTGAAAAATATATATTTCACCTTATTCTGTACTCCTTTTATGTATTCGAATTGCTGCTTTGCCACAAATGGCTCTGCTCTTCCTGCCTGCAGTCCATCACTCTCTACATCCACTTTGGTGTTGCACGCCAGCCAGCCTTGAACTATTATTTTTTTCTTACTGTCTCAAAATTATTCTATTTACTTTTCTAAATAAACTTATATTCCTATAATGAAAATAATCATATCTACCTGTTAGAGGAATTGATCCAATTCACATAATTTTATTGTTTTGATTTTAAAGAGGATGTTTATTAACTCAAGCATATATTTAAAGAACTGAATTTCAGGAGAGGAAATATTTGGCACAGTTCTCAGCCACTACCTCCAAAGTATTTTAAGTTTTTTTTAATAATCAAAAAAAACTCAGCGTCAAATTTACTATCGTAACCATTTCCAAGCATATGGTTCAGCAGTATTTAATACATTCACATTGTTGTGAAACAGATCTCCAACACTTTTTCATCTTGCAGAACTGAAACCCTGTAACCATTAAACAGCAACGCTCTCTTTTTCCCTCCCTGCAGCTCCTGGTAACCACCATTCCATTTTCTGTTTCTATGAAGTTGGCTACTTTAGATACCTCATATAAGTAGAATCATACAGTATTTGTCTTTTGTGACTGGCTTATTTCACTTAGTGTAATGTCCTCATGGTTCATGGTATAGCATGTGACAGAATTTCATTCCTTTTTAAAACTGAATAATATTCCACTGTAAGTATATATCACCTTTTGTTTATCCATTCATCTGTTGATGGACATTTCAATTGTTTCTACCTCTTGGCTGTTGTGAATAGTGCTGCTATGAACATGGGTATACAAATATCTCTTCCAGACCCTGTTTTCAATTCTTTTGGATATATACCCAAAAGTGGAATTGCTGGATCATATGATAGTCCTATTTTTAATTTTTTGAAGAACCTCCATAACGTTTTCTATAGTAGCTGTACCATTTTACAATTCCATCAAAAGTGCACAAGGGTTTACTTTTTCCATATCCTCACCAGCACGTGTTATTTTCTGTTTTTTTGATAGTAGCCATCCTGGTAGGTGTGACATGATGTCTCCTGTAGTTTTGATTTGCATGTCTCTGATGATTAATGTTGTTGAGCATCTTTTCATATGCTTGTTGGCCGTTTGTATATCATCTTGGGAGAAATGTCTGTTGAAGTCCTTTGCCCATTTTTTAATCAGATTATTCAATTTTTTATGGTCGAGTTGTAGGATTTCTTTGTATATTCTGGCCCCTTATCAGATATATATTTTGCAAATGTTTTCTCTCCTTTTCACACTGTTGATTGTGTCCTTTGCTGTGAAGAAGATTTTTAGTTTGATGTAGTCCCACTTACCTATTTTTGCTTTTGTTGCGTGTGCTTTTGGTGTCATATCCAAGAAATCATTGCTAGATCCAATGTCATAAAGCTTTTCCTCTATGCTTTCTTCCAGGAGTTTTATAATTTTGGTCTTATATTTAGGTCTTTAAACCATTTTGAGTTAATTTTTGTATATAAGCTTAGATAAAAGATGTAATTTTATTCTCTTGCACATGGATATCCAGTTTTCCCAACATAATTTGTTGAAAAGGTTGTCTTTTCCCCCTTGAGTGGTCTTGGCAACTTTGTGGAAGGTTATTTGCTGTACACAACCAGGGTTTATTTCTTGGATCCCTATTCTATTCCGTTGGTCTCTAGGTCTGTCTACATGCCAGTATCACACTGTTTTGATTACCTTAGCTTTGTAGTATGTTTTGAAATCAGTAAGTGTGAGTCCTCTAACTTCGTTCTTTTTTTTCAAAATTCTTTTGGCTATCGAGATCCTGTGAGAGTCCATATGGATTTTAGAACCGTTTTTTCTATTTCTGTAATAAATGCCATTGGGATTTTGATAAGGATTGTGTTGAATTTGTAGATGTTTTTAGTAGTGTGGTCACCTTAACAAATTAAGTCATTCAATTCATAAATGTGTATTGTCTTTTTATCTATTTGTGTCTTCTTTAATTTCTTTCAGCAGTGTTTTGTAGTTTTCAGTGTACAGGTCTTTCACCTCCTTGATTAGGTTTATTCCCAAGTATTTTATTTTTTTTAATGCCATTTTAAATAGAATTGTTTTCTTAATTTTCTTTTTGGATTGTTCATTATTATTGTATCGAAATGCAACTGATTTTTGTTGATTTTTTATCCTGCAACTCTGCTGAAATTGTCTATTAGTTCTGACAGTGTTTCTGTGGACTCTTTATGGTTTTTTTACATGTAAGATCATGTCATTTGCAAACAGAGATGATTTTATTTCTTTTTTTCCAATTTTGGATGCCTTTTACTTCTCTTTTTTTTTTGCCTAATTGCTCTGGCTAGGACTTCCAATACTATATTGAATAGAAGTTGTGAGAGCAAGCATCCTTGCCTTGTTCCTGATCTTAGAAAGCTTTCGGTTTTTCACCATTGAGTATGATGTTAGTTGTAGGCTTTTCATATATGACCTTTTATCTTGAGGTAGTTTCCTTCTATTCCTAGTTTGTTGAGTGATTTTATCATAAAAGAGTATAGATATTTGTCAAATGCCTTTTCCACATCAGTTAGGTGAACATGTGGTATTTGGCCTTCATTCTGTTAATGTAAGTATTTGAAGTTTTATAGTTTCTTTTATTGTAAACCCAGAGGATCTATAAAAGTTTTAGTTGTTTTCATCAGTATTGCCCATCAGCAGATGTAAGTGCTTAATTGTGGGAAGAATTGGGTTGGATATATGGGGCATTTATATGCATAGGTAATTTGCAATGTAAATGCTTGCAAACTGGGACTGCCCATTTTTCGTTAACAAAAAAATTGTAAAATTTTATTAAATTTCTTAAAAAGCATAGCTAATTCACTCTTCTAACATAGGTAAAACAGATGAAGATTATAAGGGAACCCATCTATGATCTGTCTCTGGCCTATTGATAGTGCCTCACTGAGAATGTTCAGGAAGAGCCTGCAATTGCTTAATGGCCTGGATGTGGAGGGGGAGAATCGTTAACTTCCTGATCACAAAGATAGAACAAAAGATTGGGTGACTGAACCCCTTCTGAATGAAAGGGAGGTTACTTCAGTAGACAGAATGAGCCAAAATTCATCGTTCTATTGTCTGAGTTTGAATGTGTCTACTCCAAGACATCCTTGACCTTTTTAACTTGAATCTCTTTTGAAAACTGGAAAAAACAAAACTTTTCAAAGACTGCAAACTTGTTTTTAGATGTAGAAATAAAAAATAGTGACTACTTCGTTAGTACTGAAGTACTGCAGAAATTGTAAGACTTCATTAATTTGGACTTACCTACCTACTGTGTCTGTTGACTCATGCGGCACCGTTGAAGGATAGCTCTTCTCAGTGCTGCCCTATAGCTCAACTTCCTCTTCATTGCATTGGCCTAGCTGGACTTGCATCTTCTGGAGCATGCGTAAGCTCTCGCTTTTGATGGTCAAGTCCCATAAATCATTAGCTCCCCCTCCCTCCTTCCATCTCAGGTATAGTATACATATGGAGTTCTGTAGATACTTAGATTTGGTTTTAAAGAGTTCCAGTCTCTATTTGAGTTATCCAGGTTTTATCTAAAGAGCACTACCACCCTTACCTAGAAGCTAGGGAGGTTGGTCATAAATTACTCGTAGATCATGTCACTCCTCTGTTTACCATCTTCCAGATATTAACAGTTTTCCTCAGGCTAATGTTATGTTCTCTGGCACTCAAACACTTTAGGGGTCCTCCCATCTCTGGCTGTTGTATTTCTTGCTCTTTGTCTCTGGAACTCTCTACTCCCAGTTACCCACATTGCCCTGACCTTCACTTCCTTCATGCTTGGCTAAAATGTCAACTTCCAAGTGAGTTTTTCTTTGATCACTCTATTTAAAAGCTACCCCATCACTGGACAATCAATATCCATCTTCTCTTCTTTATTTTTCTTCATGGTACCTGTCACTTATCTCAGTTATCAGTCTCTTGTTTAATGTCTTTCTCCTCCCATTAGAATGTGAGAATCATAAGGGGAGGAGTTTTTGTTTCTTTTATTTGCTGCTATAAATCCAGTCCTATAACAGTGCTTAGTAAGCATTTCCTAAAGGAAGGAGCCAAAAATGTTTTCTTTTAACCTACTGTTTAAATACAATTTATTCGTTTATAAATTTTGGAAAGGAGTGTCTCGTCATTCATCCCAATTTAAATGGTTTGTTTTTACAATTGTGTTTCTTAATTTAAAATACTTTTATAGGAAGTTTCTCTTATTTTGAAAATCCTTATACACCATCCTTCTCACCACTTGCAATAATCTTCTAGTTCATTTAACTTTTAAGCTCAGTATATTGTTTAGAGCTATAAATGTTGATGTTCATTGCAAAATTAGACTGTATCTTTAGTGTACTATATTCAGAATTTTTAGTTATGCATATTAAGAAAAATAGCGAGTTGCTATCACAACCTTGGGTGCAAAACAATTCAGTATCTATAGCTTAGCATTGTTAGGGCATTACTTAGTTTTTTTGCTTATTAATTTTACCATGAAAATTTTATGCTATATGTATGTGTATGTGTGTGTGTGTGTGTGTATCAGAAAACTATTTTGCTTTAAACTGTCCCATCTAAATATGACACTCTTCGTTTTCCCTTGTTCTTTTAACATATACTGTAATAGTTGGACGTCTAAAAATACTTAGGTTAAATTAATAGTTTAATTCAAAAATATTAACTTATACATACTTTGATTCTTACAATTTTAGTAACCTCAAAATATTTATTATAGGTTGTTCTTAAGAAAACGGATCTCTATGAGGAAGAATTATTTTACAACTTGGTAATCTAAGTGGTTCTTAGATCTGCTTGAGAGACCAAAACAAAAGCCATAGTGTACATGGTGGGGGACTATATAGAATTCTAGAATTTTAAAAACATGTAATATACATTTCTAAGGAAAAAGTGAATGTCATCATTGACTTTATGCTAGACATACACATTTAACACAACTTTTTTCTACTTTGATAAAAGTATTTTGAAAGTCCGACAGACTGTTTAAATAACACTAATGTATTTCCCCTTTGGTTGACTTGAGTTTGAAAAAAATAACCTTATAGTTGTAACAAATATATGTGTCTTACTTTGGTCACTTATGTGTGGCTTGCTTCTCATTTTTTTCAGGGGGATGTTTCTGGATACCATTCTCCCCTCACGTGATGATAATGGCATACGTCCGGCAATTGGTCAGCGAACCCGTTTAAGCAAAGGAGACATTGCACAGGCAAGAAAGCTGTATAGATGTCCAGGTATTGCACCATACAAACGCAGAAGCATAATTGTGCCTGATAGTGTTCTTCCAGATGAATAAGCCGTAATTTACTCAACTGTTTACTTGTCTGTCTCCATGCTGGCAAGTGACACGTATTCAGTTCAAAGTCTAATCATAAAATGAAATAGGAGAGAACTCTGGAACACCCACTGATATAATTAAAAACAAATTGCTAGAAATCAAATTTCAAGCACAGGGATAGTATGTTTTATTTCTTTTAATTTAGTGAGTAAAAGAGCAAAAAGCATGGTTGTTTGATGGTTCTTATTAAATAGCTGCATGATTTCATAGTCAAATGCTGAGTTTCCTTGCCAATAGAAAAAAAAAAATCCTTTATTTCAGCTTCAGAACTGACTCCTGAATGATCTTTTCTTTCAAGCACCGTCATTAATGGTATACAAATTTTATTAATTGGAATTTATAACCTCATTGCAAAAAATAAGTTCTAACCATGTTGCTAGTGAGCTACTGTATGTTTTGCTACTGGATAAAGTTGTGAAAAAAAGATTAATGGAAGGTCTTAATAAGAATGTTCCAAGGGAACACTAGTGTCTTATTGGTCCAAGAAAGAAAAAAGAGCCTGCTTCCAAATTGGAAATGCTGCGTACTCTATATACCTCCTGTATGCTCAAAATGCTTTGAAATATCCTATGTCAAGAAACATATCTAACTTTGCTTAACACAGCTTTTACAAAATTTTTTTTCCATGGAAACCTCCTTTTACCTAATGCTTACTTGTAGAACTCACTTTTGGAAATATTGTTCTAGATACTAAGATTACAAGTGGTAAAATAAGTATAAAAGTTTTAATCAGCTGCTAGTCTAATATTTTTTGCAGAAAATTGGGGATATGGTGGGTATATTAATGATTGAAGTTTTACATAGATTCTTACATTGAAAATTTGTTTATATTATTAAATTATTGGGAAGTTATATTAATTAAATTTACTATGATTTTTAGCGTCAGTCCAGGAAACTTTCTTTATAAAGTTCGGGAGAGGGCTAGCTAATTCACTCACAAAAATGTAATATTTGCTCATTGATATGCAGTATAAAACCCTTTTGTTGAACAGATCAACACTCAAGTGCAAGTGAGAGTGAGTCGGTTGAAGAAGCACAGGAAATAGCTGGGAAGTTCACAGTTCAGCATGGGTGATGGCATCTAATTCATTGATTCAACCTGATGGATTCTGTTGAAATTTCTGTGGAGAGAAAAGGTTTTCTCTCCCTTAAGATTAGATTTGCTAAGGAAAATTGTAAGAAATTATGTGTTTCCAATTTTGTGGTAACAATTAGTTTTCTTGTAATTTAGGTGTATTAGCTCCTTTCAGAAGGACATTTGAGATTTTTTAAATTTAAAGTTGTATTGAAAACCTTTTACATCTTAATGATTCAATACTGAGAGTAAGTTTTAAAATGTTTTCTTTTGTACGTAAACATACTTCTATTTAATTATTCCGTATATCAAAAGATTTAATATGTATTGAATTTAATATACATCAGTTTATTTTATGAATATTTATTTAAGTTTTATTCATATTTGCATAAATGCCTTTTAAAATGTTTTATGTTTGTATGTAAAATACACATACATGTGTGGTATTTTTTTAAATCTAAATTTCCACAGGAAAGATGAATTTATAAGCAAATGGCCCCACTAAAACAAAAGTCCTGGGTCATCCTTGGTTAATTTCTGGTAGTATTGGATATATTATACTTTTTCATTTCAAAGTAGAAAATTTTGGGAAAGATTATGTGATAGGAGGCAACTAGATAAATGGATAGTTCACATATAAAACCGTTTTGATTGTGTCTCTAAATATATATGTATATACATTACACTTGAAAAGCACACAGGAGATGCATCTGCACGTAGAATTGTGGAAAGTTAATCAATAGGAATCAGAAAGCAATCAAACTTATGACACTGTAGTTTAATTTTCAGCCTATGATTCTTGAAAATTAGTTATTAACAGGAAAATAATGAAGTATAATTTTTCCATTTTGTTACTTATAATATAATAATAATTAATGTGTACATTGTTTTGTTAATACAGTAAAACTACATTCATGAAGGCACTATCATCTAAGAGAAAGATACCTTGTGTTTCTAAAGCAGTATAAAAAGCAAGTTTATTACAGCTTATAAATTGCATGGAGGAAGGGAAAGCTAAAAGATAGAAGTACATATTTAAAAAAATAAAAATATGTTAACTTCTAGTTCTCAAAGTCTTTGAGAATGACTTTTTCCTCTCTTGGACTTCTTAATGCCCACCAAAAACTCCCTCCCTTTCTCCCTTTTTCTGTGTCTCTCTCTCTTCAGTTTCTTTCTCTCTCCCTCTCAGCCACTGTGTGTATGTGAGTGTGTGTGTGTCTGTCTTTCTCTCTCTGAAGCTGTTAGCTTTGAGCTACATATGGTTATGTATTTAAAGTTCATTTCTTTGCAATGGGGAATACTAGTGATATTGATATAAATAGACTTACCATAAACTAAATAAAGTTTAGCTACACTGATGTGGTAGGTTTACCAGTAACTCCACGTACTTCAATGGAATAGTGGTAAAGATCCATAACTGTACATGAAATCTAAATAGGATGATTTATCCGAGAATCAGCTAGGAAGAGACTAAAAGTTTATCAAATGAGATCTGGTTATGTCTTTGTTTTAATATAGAAAGGAGAGGAATATAAACCTGAGTATTCCTTTGGAGTTTGTTTTGTTGTTTTTTGTTGTTGTTGTTGTTAGAAATTTCTGGTGAAGAGAGCCAATCAGAGGTATTTGGCTACTTTCATTCCATTTTTTTACTCCTTATCAGTTTATGCTCAAAGCTCTGTTAGATCTGCGTTTTATAGAGCTATTCCTCAGAGTTTAATCTTGAAAGGAATAGTGACCCGGTTCACACATATATGCAAGGTAGTGGCTTTTATAGTCTGTGATAAGTGGGGCCCTGAGTCCAAGAGGGCAAGTTTCCGAGACAGGTGGTAATAAGCAGACTGTAAATACTGTTGCTCCTCCTTTAATAATATAGGAAATGTGTTTTTATCTATCAGAAGATGAACAGCATTAAAAATGTATGTATTTTTAATTCCCTTAAAACAATATAAATTTATTTGTGTGGGACTTTTTAGCTGATAAATAACTTGTAATCCATTATTATATTTATCTACTTATATATGCCAAAAATATAGATTAGCTTTGTGTGTGAAACCTCAGTTACTTGTATCAGTACATGCTCATCATGAAAGGGCTCCATATGGGAAGAAAGTTGTGTTTTTAAGGTGATGGAATGAGGATAAGTTTCTTTTAGTTTAGAATTGTTTTTATTGCCATTCCTTGCTCTTGTTTTTAGAAGTACTTTTAGAAGCAGGCAAGAAAAGTCTCCATAGGCATTGTTATGTAAAGAAAGAATGTGACCCTTTGCAGCCCTGACACTCTACTGATAGAAGACCCAGCCATGCATTGCTAGACCACATAGGCCCAAAAGGAAAAGGAAGGGAAGGAAAGCGAGAGCTGCTCAACCCTGGGATTGAATAGGTTTCTGACACTGCTGGCCAAAGGCCAATCCTGTGTTCTTCTGACGGCCTTTCTAATATTAAGGTATCTTAAATGACACCCACTAATGCTACTTGCCTACATTACAATCCCTTGCATCCTACACTGTCAGAACAAGAAACATCCACCTGGGGGCGGAGAATGGGTCGTCATTTCACCCTTCGTCTTTCCTTTATCCCAGTAGTTAGCAGTTGGCTAGAAGGAGATCCTCTCTAGCGTGTATGAGTTGTAGTGTATCTTCTTCTCTTTATAATGATTAATTTGTTCTCTTGCTCTCTCTCTTCTTTTGGGCCTTCTTTTTCTTGTGACTCATTTTCTAAAGGTATTCTCCTCTACTTTGATCTAATGTTAGGATTATTTTCCCTTTTTATTTTTAAACTGCTTAATTTAACTCTTCTGATGCAGTCGCTGATCTTTATTTGCATTTTCTCTTAATCTATTTTTTCTGTAGTCCTGTGACCCTTTTGCTTATGACTACTTAGTAGTTATACCAACTATCAACCCTAGTGTTCTCTCAGTAAATCTTCGTTAATTAAGTAGGTCAGATAACACAGTAAAATTAGGAAAAATATAAAATAAATTGATATCTAAAAATAAAGGGACTTCTGAGGATTAGAATCTTCCTTGTTATATAAAAGTATATGTGTATTCACACATGAACACACATACGATCTATGTTCACATATATGTGTTCTTTTTTTTTTTTAAAGATTTTATTTATTTATTTTTCCCCCCCAAAGCCCCAGTAGATAGTTGTATGTCATAGCTGCACATCCTTCTACTTGCTGCATGTGGGACGCAGCCTCAGCATGGCTGGAGATGCGGCGTGTCAGTTCACGCCTGGGATCTGAACCTGGGCCGCCAGCAGCAGAGCGCGCACACTCAAACGCTAAGCCACGGGGCCAGCCCACATATATGTGTTCTTAATTTTGGTATACATACAGTGCATACAGAATATCCACGTCTATGGATGCACATTTGTGTGGAGTTGTAGAGATGGAAGACCAGTCTCCGCACACATGGAGTTTGAATACTAGAAACTTTACATTGCTTTAAACACCTGTTTCATTAAATTTATCTTTAAAATTGATATGAGGTTCTTTTTAGTTACCTAGAGTATTAATGTTTGGGTTCCTGATATAATTCTCTGAGGTCCCAGATAGAATATCCTTTCTATATGTGCTTGTATATACACAATTCTTGGCTAAATTTTAAATAATTTTGCATATTGCCAACTTGCAAAAAAATAATTTAGCCATTTTTTTTCCGTTTATTCATCGACCCATTTATTTATCTCCCTGAAAACGTTCTCTAGTTCAGTGGATGGTCCCACACATAGATCATCCAGTAGGTAGCTCAAGCCAGAACTGTGGAGGGCATCCTTGCTTCATTCCTCTCTCTGCCTCACTTCCTACAGCTAGATG